AAAAAGGGCTTTCTCACAATGGTCTGATTTTCTTGTAAAATCTTGAATCCTATTGTGAAACACAGAACTAAAAAAATTGCTTTTTCTTCTTTCTTCTTTTGATCTTAAAGTAGAGTTGGAGTTTACAAGAGCTTATGGTTGCTTGCAATTCTTAAGTATTGGTATGAGATTGTGAGAATTCTCAAGTCTGTAAGTATGATTGCCCAAGAGTCTCTTTCTCCATAGGCAAGGCTATTTATAGCCTAGAGTTAGTTCTACCACCTTAGCCCACATTATTAACCAATCGCATGTAAGTGAGGTGTTGGGTTAAGATTAACTCCCATACATGCTACATTATGTAGGAGTTAGTGGTTTTGCCATAGGGACTATCCTATTACAATAGGACATGGACCTAATTGGATTTGATATATTATTACAATAGAACATGAACCTAATTGGACTTGGTACACTTCAATCATTGGGCCATGATCATGTTCATGTAAACTTGAGCCCTAGGTCCATGGAGGACCATATTTATTTGGAGGTTTCCATGTAAATTAAACCCATAACTTTGGCCAAGGCAATTTACATATTTACAAGGCTTAAACAATTCAAAAGGCAATGGAAAAATCCCCAATTATAATTTTGAATGTATGAACTAGCTCCTTTTATTCTTGAACTTCAAACACATCATTACCTCTTATCTCTCCCAATGGTACAAAGCTGCTTAGAACAAGGGAATATCAGTTCGTTGAATCTTCAAGAACAACATTTAAGGAGATTACCATGAAATTCATCCCATTTCCTAGTAGAATATCAGATGTGAAGTCCCTATCATTGAACTAATAGCAACTGTTATAATGCAAGGCACCGGGTTTGTTGCATAGGCTTGAGTGTTGCCATGACTTCCATCGCTAGTAGAATGACCCCCACATAGTGTGAATAAAGTAATCACCTTGGAAACCACATCTCCGCCTCACAATATCCTGCCCCACATTTCCCATAGCACATTCTGGTCATGTATTGGAAATATCTCCCGATGATAATATTAGAACCAATGATGTCATCCTCGGGAGATGCTCTTAATACACGGCGGGGATGTGCTGTGGGGCGGGACATTGTGGGGCGGAGATGTGAACTCAATCACCCTGAGATTAGCGCCCAGACACCATGAAACCAGTTCAGCTCCCCTTTTCCTTGGACCTCATAAATGTTGAAACAAATTATTACCTTCTAAACAATCAATTTATTTCTTTCAGCAAACCAATTCCATGGCTCTTAATTAATGAACAATGACAAATTCTCTTACTAGAAACCCCAAAAAAATCTAACTTGGGATTTGATTTAAAGAATAGGAAAATGGGTAGCTCAAATCTAAACATATAAAAAACAACAAAGTAGAAATAATGTATTATATATGATTGCTACTTATGAGTTAAATACTAAGGACCTGTGGAAAAACCATTCCACAAAGGCATGAACTCAGTTTTCTAGTTAGTCATTATTTCATGAAACCAGTTCAGCTCCCCTAGGAGAATCTGGATTTGCTCCTCACACAGCATGCCTCACACCAACTTCATAGCATTTACAGCCCTACTTTGGGAATATCTCTCATACTTGTATGTTGGCATTCATGGGGAGATATTCCCAATGCATGGCTGCAACATGCTGTGAGGCTGGTGTGAAGAGCGCTCTCGGAGGAACAAATCCAAATTCAGTCTAGGGATGCAAATGGAGAGAAAGGATTCCGCTAAGAATCAAACAAATGACATAGACGTACTGCATCCACATGTTTGTTGCAGAAAACCAAGTGATAAAGATATGATTGAATATTTATTTAAAAAAACAAAAAAAAATGATTAAATAACGAAATTAAGTAATGAATTTAAAAATTTATCAAAAACACAAAATTAATTATCATAGATTTAATAAGATTAGATAATAAGAATACAAATATAAATAATTGAAAAAACTTTAAATATTATTTAAATAATGAAAATTAGATTAAATAATTTAGAGGTATTGAAGCTTCCAAATAACAAATTTATCTAATAAGTTTTAAAAAAATATTTTTAATAGATATTATAAATAGAACAATAATTGTGATTATTAATGTACTAATAATAAAATCACTATTTCACTTATATCAATTAATAATTCTAGATACTAGCTTTCAGAAAAAATAACATTTATTAACAATAATTTTAAAATCCCTATCTATATTTATTATATATTTATATATACTAAAATTAATATTAATTCTATTTTTGTGATAAAAATATTTTCAATAATTGTTTATAAATCTATTTTTGTTTTGTTATTTAATAGAAAATTTTCAACAATTTTTGGAGATTAAACTATCATTGTTTAACTTGTTAAATTTAATTTATTGTATTTTTATTTTAAATTTATATTTAGTAATTATGTATTTCGTTATAATTTATAGATTAATATTTGTTAGAGGTCAAACTATTATTGGAGATTACTCTATTTATTGCCTAATTTAATATATTTTCAGTATTTTTTGTATCCTCGTAATTATTGTATTTATTATATTTTTGTTATAAATTTCTTTTCATCAATTGTGTATTTTCACTATAAATTTTCAATAATTATTGGGGATTAAACTATTGTTGTTTGTTAGAGATTAGACTACTTAACTAAAATTAGGAGAGTTCATGGGTCAGTTCGATTCGGATGCAGTTGTAGTTTGTTTGGCCAACCAATAGGGTTGTTCATAAGAAGGCACAACTTGACCAAACCGACTAACCCAAGTCGGCCGGGTTTTCATTAGCACGGGTCGGTTTCGCGTTGTTCAAATTCCTAAACCGATTATTCGGGTCGGTTTCGGTTTTCACACAAGAAAACCGAAACCGACCCAAACCGAACCGACTTAGTTCCTAGTTCAAACATGAAGTTCCAAAGCCCATTAGGCCACCTAGTTTTTGAATGGTTGCAAGAAACTTTGGATTAGTGAATAGTGATTAATGAACAACTTTTGTGATTAACTTTTCATTTAAATTTTATCATAGGAGATGGCTGAAATGATGTTCAATTTATGATTGTTTTTAAAATTAGCAAGATTTTATCACAGGGATGAACTTAGAACCAAAACCGACCCAACCCGACTCAAATCGACCAGGTCAGTTTTGCTTAACACTAGTCGGGTTGGTTGTAAAAACCGTAGTAAACCGACCCAACCTGACCTGTGAACAGCCCTACCAACTAAACTGACATGGTCGGGTTAGAGAGTTGGTCACTCAAAATTAACTAACCATTAGTGAAACCAGCCAACTCGAGTTGTATCGGTTTGGATTGGCTTTCGATTTGGTAGGTTAATTCAAAAGGTTTAAACTTAAAAAAATTAAATTTAAATTTACAATATAAAATATTTTGGACTAAGAAATATGAGAAATTGACCCAACTTGGTCAGGTTAGAAAATTGATAAACCTAAACCGACCGAAAATACAAAAAACCAACTAACTCGAGTTAAGTTGGATTGGTTTGGTTGGTTTCATCAAATTGATGAACAGCCGCCCTAACTGAAATTAATTATTGTAATTTTTGTATTTCAAAAAATTATTAAAAATAATATATAAAATATAAATAACTATTAATTATTTAAAAAGTTAAAGTATAAAACAATTGTCTAGTCTTATTTAGCTTTTCTTAACAAAACCTATACGTCAACCGGGTCCCCGCCAGTCATCACTTATTTTTAAGCACTTATTCAATAATCACTTTTTTTTAAAGAACAAATTTCTTAAACTACCCTTTATCTTTTAGCTAATTGACTAACTCTACTCTTACTCTTAGAGTAACCATAGTGGCATCGTCGTTAAGTGATAATAAAAAAAGAGAAGATATCTAAATAACCCTCCATTATTCTTAAAATTTTCAAAATAAAACCCAACCAAATCCACCACGTCACACACACTAACTACAACGTTCAATTCCTCACCTATCCTCTCCAACAGGCGGTGGCCATGACCATGAAGAGAATTACAGTCAACAATATACAAAGAGGATCACCAAAACCAGCAACGAAGCAAACATTGGTATCGGACATGAATCGGTATATGGCGTGCTTATGAGGAAGTACTGTGTGTACTTCTTTCTCTCGTTTTCAACCTGCCCTGCCTCCGTTCTCCCCTGTTCCACCGTCCACCAGCGACGGTTTGGACTGTCCTGTGTGTGTGGAGGAGATTCCGAAATTTCTACCTAGCGGTGGAAGATGATGTTTGGTGGCTCTCAAACATCACCAAAGGACATGAATCGTTTGTTTCCTTCGAGCTTCAAACATCCGGAAGAACTGCAGTCAAAGAGCAGGGAGGCCATGAACTCAGATCTCCATCTTCAACAGCAGCAGCAGCTGAGCTCAGGTCTGATGCGGTATCACTATGCTCCAAGCTCATTCTTTCCGAATTTCATCGACGGTAGTGGCGGTGGAATTGACGAATGATGCGAAGGTTTCCTCCATCATCGACCTTCAAGCCCGGAGGCAGAAAGCATGTTTGCGAGGTTCATGTCTTTAGAGGAGGAGGTGGAGGCGGTGCAACGGTGGTGAACCTGCTCTTCCTGATCCTCGGGAGATCGGAGAGAGACCTCCAGCGGTAGCCCCTTCTAGCGCAACTGTTAATCAGAGGAATTCTCAGTTCATGGCGCCAATGGAACGTGAGGGCGAGGTTGTTTGACAGCAGAATCGGTATTTCTCTGCTACTCAGATGATGTACCAGTCTCAGACTCTCAGATCCCGCTGCCTGTGCAATTACAGTTCAGCCCTCATATACTCATAGACAAACACCTTACCACCTGTGGTCAGGTGGTGTTATATATATACGGATTTTAACGGAATATTAACAGACATTAACGATAAAGATGGAGTTAATTAATTGTGGCTTAAGATAATAACTAATCGGTAAATACAAATTGTCCGTTAAATATAAGTGAGAATAGTTTAAAAAATTTTCCCTTTTCTAAAATAAGCAATCTCAAACTAAGCCGTAGTGTTAGGCATCTAAACCGGCGGTTCACATAGAAAATGGACCTGGTCGACCGCCCCAGCGTCCCTCTCGCCTCTTCCACAGACCACAGTCCAAGTGGACCATCCATTTTAGAGAGGAGAAGATAACAGAAACGAGATAATGGAGTTGGCGTTGCAATCATGGAGACTCGTCTCCTCGCTTTCCCCTGCTCTGTCTCTGCTCCACCGTGGCCACTGAGAAACCATAATCTCTCTCCACCCCGAAACCCTAATTTCTCGGTTCATCTTCCCTGCCGCTCTGCCAGGTATCGTCCTCGTCGAAGTAGTGACGGTAGTAAGTCGTACTGGGATTCAAACGCTGAGACGTTAAGAGAAGGATTCAGGTTCGAATTAGGAGGAGATTCGATCAGCGAAGACGACGCAGAAGATGAAGACGATGGTATTGGTTTCAGAAGGGGGGACAGACAACAACGCAAATGGTGGTCCGATGAGCAGTCATCATGGGATTCCGACGAGGGATCCGGGGTTTTCGAGGAAGCCATTGATAATGTCTGGATTCTAAAGGTAATTGGTGTAAAACCAGCTTAAAACTCAAAAGTTGTTTACTTTCTTTGTTATTGAGTTTTTGTATTTGTTTGGTAATCGCTTAATTAGTCTTGTCCTGCTCTAATACATGTTAAATCGAGCGTACTTGGTTTGCGTTTAGGTCGATGGAATGGACACCTAGCTCCATTTCTATTGGATGTAATTTATAGAAAATTAGCTTAATTCAATAACTATAGTTGCTTATTTGAGTGGTAAAGATATGGGGGCATTAGTAAACATGGTAACCATGACTTGAATGGGCAAACCCAGTTGAGAGGGATGCAATTAAAAAAGAAAAGAACTGAAGTGTTAATTGAAGACAAGAAAGCTGAGAGCAGAAAACTCTTGGCCATCCAACTGAAAAACATGAAGAGTATTATGACTGTATTTTTGAGATTCGAGGATGAGAATTCATCCAAATTTACTTTGTTTTGTTTAACTCTTTTGTTAATGAGTCTTAGCATTACAGGCGTGTCTGCAGTATTGGTTTGTATATATTGGAAAGTAATGAGAAAAATGGCAGCAATGGTAAACTAACAAGGTTCTAATGGCACAACATATCCACAACTGTAGGAATAAATATCAAATGATAATTAATGGGAAGATAGATAAACTTATCGATAATAACTGACTTACTGAGTTGCAGTAAGTGTTCGCACTCCTTAAAATCGATTTTGCCACCTCTCAGAGATTATCTGTTAATGTAGAATGTTTTCCGCAGTCAGCCTTTAGGATACAACAGCTCTTAGCCTTTGTGTTGCATGCACTTACAGCCCAAGCATCGAACCAGGATACTATGTATGTGCCTAAACACGATTTCAACGGAGAAACCCAGTACAGTAGAGCAGAAAAACGTGAAGAAGACAAAAGCTAGTAATTCACTGTTCCAAAAACTAATTGGAAGAGCGCCCCTTAAGAAAACATCTCCCACTTTTCTTGGGACTTCTCCCACATTTTGGAGAGTTTGGTGGTTACCAAAAAATGTCAGAAAGGAGGACTTTCTGAAAAGAATAAAAATATAAATATAAGACAAACCAAGTGCACAAAGCAATAGATAAATCCAAAAGGAGTTCGTTTCCTAGTCCATATGGGACTCAAGAGACTCCGCTAAACAAAAGAAAACAGAAAACAAGGAACATTTAATTTGAATCACAAAAACCACTAGAGTACCAACAGTATTCATCTAGAATGATATCATGGTCGTATGCAATTGCCAAATGAAGAAGAGACAAATACACACACACAGGGGTTTTGCAAAAGTTACCACTTGCTTTTGTCACATGCTTATGAGTGCTTGTATGTCTTTAAACCTTAAAGGTTCAGTGACATGCTTTGCTAAGCTGTTAAGGCAGAATTAGAATGCCCTTGGCCTTAAGTCAAATTTGCACTACATGGAAACTTTCCTTTTCCATTGTTTTCCTTTGCTAAACAAACCTTGAAATTGAATATTGGTTGGTTATATTGCCATAATTGGTGAAAAAAAATCTGTTAAACATGTCTGACACATATTCTTGGACTAATACAGGTCTTCAGTTCTTTTGGATGGATGCTTCCAGCCATTATATTATCGATGTTATTAGGTACAGGTCCTAAGGCTGTCCTCATGGCGTTAGTACTTCCACTTGGGCAGTCTGCAATTTCTCTTGCAATAGACAAATTTTGGGGTAGGAGACGTGAGAGCCCCATACCGAGGTCCAGGACCAAGAAGAAGCCATTTGCCAGGGCTCCAGGTGATGTTCGAATGAATGCTGAAGAAAAACAGGAGGACAAAGTTGGTGAGGCTGGTAACGGAAGGTGTGGATATCAGTCGTGGGTGACAGCAAATGATGGTTCAGTTAAGAAACGTGGTCAATACAGGTACAGCTTTGGTGGATGGGATGAGCTAGATAGACAAGGCAAGCCTGAAATGGGGCCCATAAGGATGCCATCACGAATGACAGGTGGTTCACCAAGGCCACAGGTGGAGAGAAAAGGCAAGTTGAGTAGGAGAGTGAGAAATAAAGATACACCCTTATTGATAAGGTTGCTTATTGCTTTTTTCCCATTCTTGGGTTCATGGACTAAGATATTATAGCAATTCCTGGTGTATTTGCTCAGTGTGTGGACATGGTTTATTGCAAAAACCTAGAAGTGAAGACATAATATTCCACAAAGAAACCATGCATATTCCCAAACTTTTTTCTTGATTGACAACGAGAGCCTCTGTTGAACCAATTGATCAAAAGTTAATAACCCAAATTCTAGATTTGTTACCTTTGTTGGTGCAAGACAGTTGGTGACACTGGAAGCCTGTGGTTGAATTTGGAGGGTGGGCCTTGTCACAATGGTTGGGTTGCTCCATTGTGACCTTGGGAGACCAGGGTTCAAATCTTGGAAATAGCCTCTCTGTATGTGCAGAAGTAACACTGTATACGTCTGCCCCTCCCCAGACCCTGCATTGGTGGGAACCTTGTGCAGTGGGCTGCCCTTTATAACTAAACCTTATATAACCCCTAGACCTTGTTCATAATTAATATTGGAAGAGGCCAGGGCACTGATATAATCTGATCAAACAGTTGAAAGACCCCAGGTGCAGCCAGAATACGTTCGCTGAGCATTGGGTAACAGAAGAATGAGCATAGCATAACACAAGAATTTATCAACTCAGCTTGGTGATGGCTTTGCAAAATCTGTTAACAACTTGTGAGAGTTCACTGGACACTATTGCAGGTCTGATACTTTCTTTAATACAAGAGGAATTGCATTTCTTGATTATAATAACTGTAACAATCAGATGGATTTGGTAGATGCTTTTCTCTGTTTTTTTTTTTGCCATATTTTATGCATTGTTTAAAGGGGTGATAGTTAATGTTTATTTTAACAAATCATTTTGAAGATCTCAAAGATGGCACAAATAAGTTGAACTCCTACCATCTGTTTTGGCCTGCATTGTGATCAAAATCCAGAACACAACTGCACAGAACATCTTATATAGAAAGCAATAGTTATTATTAATTTGAATGTGTTTACTTCAAACCTATTTAAAATTTAATACTATATAATCATATATATTATGTCCTCTTCCTGACATGTGCTTTCTGCTAGTATTAAAAAAAAAAAAAAAGATATTACATGTATAAGCTGTACATACACATGGGTTATTCTCCACCATCATGACTTCAGATCCTTGCCACAGTTTCTCCTACATATGGATGATGAACACCATTTTTCCCATTTATTTGGAAGAAGAGAAATAAAAGTTCTATATGTGACATAAAACATGGATGTGCAGTAGATTCAGTCCAAAGTACAGAATAGTGTGGCTCTTACCATCTGAATCTTGTTGTTGAGATGCTACCACGTTCATTTAGCCAAACATTTTAAAAGGCTTTAAGGTGAGGCTGAAAGGCATACACCTTGAGGAGGCAGGTTGGAGATAAACTGCATTGCCTTCATATCTTATATCATGAATGCAAGGCTTAGATCTCAGGTTGCAAGAGGTGCACATCTTTTGCTTCACACCTTTACTTCTAGGGGCATACACCCCGAAACAATAACTTTCTAAAAGTTAAAGGTAAATGTTAAAGTATTTATTGTATATTTCATAGCCACATGGACTGCATTTAAGGGAAATTTGTGGTTTCCTTTTCATGGCAATACAAAAGAAGTGGGAGAGATTCGATTAAAAACCACTAGAGTCAGCAAGGGTTTAATTGGAAATTTTATGTGCACGACTCTTTCAAATATTATTAGACAAACAACTCAAAGAACTATTCAACCTAAGCTTAAGCTGTTAGGTGAGATCCCTGAATATGGATTTATTCTCTAGCACACCCCTCTCAGGAAAACCCATGGGACTCGAAGCGTTGACAAGCACAGGTCCACCCATACCTTGTGCTGAAATTTAATTATTTTTTTCAATTAAATTAGTGACAATACTTCTCTAAATAATTTTCGAATTAAATTCTATGTTCAACTTTTTTATAGGGTTTTGGAATGTATTTGTGTAAGCCAATTATTGGTGAATTGTGTTTTGATTGGTGCCCTTACAAAGAAAACCTGTTCAACTAATTGACGCCCTTAGAAAGAAAATGTTTTGATTGATGAATTGTGTTTAATAAAAGCTGATTTTGAAGCTTGGCTGTAAAATTGATTGAGTTTCTTTGATCGTTGTTATATGAAATTAGCTTGTCAAGATTCTATCTTGAATCATACACTGATACACAGATTTGTTGGTATATAATCTTCACTTCCACTTTTTTTTTTTCTAAATATATAGAATATTTTGGAGTGTTTCAGTTATTATATTTAAATTTGAAGCAAACTGCCTCTATTTAGGGAAGATTACTTAAGCCTCGAATGTGTTTTCTAACAAATACTGAAATCTCCATTATTGTTTGACCTCCTCATAAACCTCCTTTCATGTTTCAAATAAATATGCAAACACACGCATTCCACTAATTGTGTTGAGGACTTGAGGGGAAAAATAGGGGTGTTCACAGTCCGGTTTGGTGTGGTTTGGAGAATATCTCAAACCAAACTAGTAAGTTATAGTTTGGGAAATCCTCAGATCAAACCAAACCATTTTGGCATAGAAACGAAACCAAAGCAAACCGTTTTATTACAGTTTGGTGCGGTTTTTAATACTGTTTGGAGACTTTGGAGTGGTATAGAACAAAAAAATAATAATTAACTGAAAGGGGCTAGGGCATCAAAGAGAAGAGAGAGAGAGAGAGAAATTCAATTATTAATTAAAAGTTAAAATTAAAATTAGAAGTCTTTAATCTTTAATCTTTATTATCATTTTATAAAATAAGTACTTTTATTATATATTTATAATTTAAAGCCTAAAATATTTGATATTTTATTTAATAAACCAAACCAAAATCGTAAACCATATTTTTCAAAACTTTGAAACCGAACCAAACTGTTTTTTATTACAGACCAAACCAACCGCAAATTTGGTTTGGTTCGATTTGGTTTTACAGTTTAAACCATACAATGAACACCCCCAGGGAAAACACTGATATAATGCTTTAGAGTTTTTAGATTCTCAAATTTGCCCATGAAAGACTTGATTGGATGAAGACTTATCAAATTATCCCACAAAAGTGGTTCACTTCGTTCAAGTGGGTTTTCTTCTTCACTTAGGCCAAGTTGGGGTTGAACTTCAACCTCAAAGTTATACTTACGCAATTTAGGCCATGTTTGGAGTGCTTATTTCAAAAAATAAGCATTTATTTCATATTAGCATTTGGTAGTCTTTTTCTCCGGTAAGCACTTAAATAAGCATTTGTGGCTATTTTGTCCTTCATTTTGTTTCAAATTTTCAAAATATACGCTTATGAAAGTACTTTTGTTAAATTACTTTTATAAAAACTTTTATGAAAGCACTTTTACAAAAGTACTTTTATGAAAGAACTTTTATAAAAGCACTTTTATGAAAAGTACTTTTATACAAGTACTTTTATAAAAGCATTTTTACAAAAGTACTTTTATGAAAGCACTTTTATAAAATTCAACTAGAGATAATTTTATAATTGGTATTTTAAAATTTAACTAGGGATAATTTTGAAAGAAAAAAATTGAATAAGTGCTTATTGTATAAGCACTTAAAAAGAAGCTAGAAGCTTGGGCTTAAAAAATAACCCCTTGTTTTTAAAATAAGCATTTATTTTGGGCTTATTTCCCAAACACTAATGAGTGTTTAATGGTGTGGTCTCGATCCAAATAAGCACTTTTTGAATAGACACTTATTTTTAACCACTCCCAAACATGGCCTTAAATGCATATTAAGGTGTTCACCATACATTAATTATTAAAGCAATACTTAGGAATATGGGGGTAAAGAATGAATGCAGATTGTCCTTTTTATCTGGATAAAATACGAAGGTGCTACACAAGGTAGCATGTCCCTAGGAATCACAAAAACAAATAAAACTAAGAGACCAAGGGATACACTCTACAACGACTGAACCTCCAACTAAAGCATTATGAGCTAACCAATCCGCTTGATTTGCTTCTCAATACGCATACCGAAAGTTGATGTTGGAATTGAGCAGGGAGCAAGTACTAAGACACACTGCGATGGTATTATTCTCTAGTCTTCACGGGGGGTCATAGTCTTTCTTAGGCAGCCAATGATGAGCTTTGAAACACCTTCAATAATGTTCGAGAAGTCCATGAAGTTGACAGCAATGTTGATCGCTTTCCATGTAGACCTGTTCATGGGTCGGGTTGGGTTGGTTCAGGCTGAGTTTTGTATATGTATCAACAGAATACATTCAGGCCCGAGCCCGAGCCCGGCTCTTATATAAAGCCCAAAGCTCAAGCCCTAGCTTCAATAAAAAAGTGTTTTATTTATACTAAAAAACTTCAAAACTCAAAAATAATAAACATCTCACTATTACTTGGAAAAAAAAAAGAGAAGAACAAAGAAAAAATATTATATATATATTAAATAAAATATATTTTTATTATTTAATATATAGTATCAAATCGGGGTTGGGCTTTTTTGAGAAAGCCCGAGCCCAGCCCAAGCTTGAGCCTACGGGCCTAAACTTATGACCAAGCCCGACTTAATAACGGGTCGACTGGGCCAGCCCATCGGGCTACCCAGCCCATGAACAGGTCTATTCCCCGGTAGCCTAAGCTTCAACAAGGCTGATAGACGTGATACTAGTACAATACGCTTTAAAATCAAGAATTGAGCCAAGATGGTTCCTAGCAATATACGCTATAGAACACCAGCCATCTGCATTGCAAGAGGCATCAAAATTGATTTTTATTGACCCGGGTTTGGGATTTATCCACTTAATAGACTTCCAAACTTTCGTAGTATCATTTTCATCATTCTCTAAAGAAGCATTCAAACTAGTTGCCCTTTTTGTGGAGAGCTAGAGAGAGATATCATATTTTGGCTAGATGTTTAGTTGCCCAACAGGTATGGGGACTATTAGATGATCTAATCTACAAACCATTAGACTGTGGGAGTTGGAACCTTATTGGATGGTGGGAAGAACAATCCATGAAAAAGTTGATAGTCAATTACAATAGTTTTGGGAGAAAATTACGGCAACGTTTTGGTTTCTATGGAAAAATCAAAATGAAAAGCCTTTTAAAAATAACTCTTACCAGTACATAAAAGCAAACAATTCGCTGACTCACCTAAGAGAAAACCATATGAAATAATTGAATTGGATTAGGTGGGTCCCTCAAATAGCATAAAAATAAATTTTGATGCCTCAGCAAAATCCAATGGAAGGCGCACGTTTGGATGTGTTGTGAGGGATGCGGAAGGTAGAGTTCTAAAGACAAACTGTGGCAAAATAGGTATTACAACTACTTCGATAGCTGAAATGTGGGCTGCCCCGGAAGCCCACAAGTTAGTTATGCACTTTCAAAACCAGCCCATCATCATCACTGAAGGAGACTCCCACCTAGTGATAAACATCCTCAAAGGAATCTCAAAGGTCCTGTGTCAATGTTCATCGCTTCTCAAGGAGCGCAAGAAGTTGGTTCAAAGTTATCTTCAGTTCTCTTGTATAGACACCCCCACAGAGAAGGCAGTGTAGCTGTAGATTAGCTGGTGTGAACATCCTAATTGGTTTGGGGGTCACTCCGTGGCTGAATTCTAATGGAGCCGCCACCCATCTATATGTAAAACATAGGAGTGATGGGCCTCCCATGTTCAAAATGCTAAAAAAATAAAATAAAATAAAGACTCCCATACCTAAAGTAGTTATTCTAGGAATCAAATGGGAGGAAGTGGGAAGGTATTAGGCACCCCAAGCCTCCTCCAAGTACATCCCTTTTGGAAATCCTAGAAGGAAGAAAAAATGATTGGGAGATCTCCTCCCAATCCATTTTTATTCCTTCCCTAGGCCTCCTACTAGTGGATGTTGCTAGGACTATTTCCAATTATTATC